CCAAATCTGCTCCAAGAGTGTGAGTATTTGCGTCTATACTGTGAAACAGCGGAGAGTGGATTGAGAAAATTGTTGTCGGCAGGTGCCTTGCCATCGATTGATCCTTCTTTTGCATCAGAGATGTTTGAGCTCCCAGTAGGTCGAACTTTAGAAGAGCTTCCGAAAAGTTCTCTGATTGGTATGTTGCAATCATTGCGAACAGTTGGTGTGGAACTTGCGCATAGAAATGCGTTTTTGGAGGTGCAAAACACAATGAGTTTTCCGGTAAGCGATAGCCAGTTGAGAGCGACAGTTGTTACTCTCGGACAATTGTACAAAGACGCACGAGAAGAGTTAATGAACATTGTGTATCAACGTAGTTTTTCGGATCAGTGCGGTGAGGGACTAACGGATGGCATGATGGAGAGGTACAAGGAACAATTGTATAGTCTCATAATTTTGTTATGAAATATCATTGTTGTTCATTCGCCGGTGCGGGTTATGAAGGAGATGGACCATGTAAAAAAAGAATTGAATGCTCTCGCGAGCATAAATAAAAAGCATGAGACGAGATTGCATGAGGTGGTGCTTGCACTGATTGAAGCTCTGCGGCGTCGATGTCCAAAGTGTGGCCGCCTAAGCTATTTGACGAAGGGGGACTACAGAAAGATAAATGATTTGACGGTTGTTACACCTACGTGTGACAACACGACAAACCTTTATCCCCAAGGAGATGCCATTGTTGATGATAACGAGAAGTTCGGAATGGAAGAAAGGAGAAGGCAGCTTCGTGGGGAGGACGATGTAGATGAATAGTGTGGGGTTTTTTTTTTTGTCGCATATGCTTTAACAGGTGTTCGAGTGAGAATAGTAGGAGAGGGAGGAGTTAGAGTGCGAGGGAGAACGAGGACGTGGGGTGAAATGACGAGCAAGAATGCGTCATTTGATATTTGTCCATTTCATTAATCATGATGATAGTTGAATGAGTTTATGATAAAATGCTTAAATTCTATATCTTTTTACACTTTTATTTGATTTTTCTCTCTCTCTGTCTTTATTTGTCTTTCTCTCTCTCTCTCTCTCTTTCTCTCTCTTTTCTATTTATTTCAACATTCCGTCTTTGACAACTATTTTTTCGTTTGCATGAAAATATTGTTGATTGATAAAAATAAAGATTGCTTTAGTCATTTGTTCACAAGTTATCTCATGTTGTATGTGTTCATTGTTATAAACATTATGTTACTATTTAGAAACTTACATTTAAAAAAAAAAAAAAAAAAAATGTTCTGTTCTCGCTACTCGCTCTTATATTGTTCTACTTTTTTTTTTTTT